TGGGGAAGCTTTTCGCTCTTGGGCGTGTTGTGTGGGGCCGTGATAATTTGGCAGTGTTGCTTCAGGGCTGTACTTCGTAAGGAATCGTTAGGGGGTAAGTGACTGAGGGACTGATTGTCGACTGATATTGTAAGACTTGCAGACTTTTCGACCGATTTGCCGAATTACTTACTGACTATCTGGTGGACTGACAGACCGACCTTGTGACTGAGAAATTGACGGCTGTCTAAAAGGCCGAAAAAAGTCTGTCTGATTGACTTAGTGCTCGACTGACCGAGTGACTGAATAGCTGACTGAGTGATTGATTGGTTTGTCTCTTTAGTAGCAGGTCACATTCACGAGGAAAGCCCAGCTGTGCCCATTTGCCTAAAATTTCTCCTCAGAAAATGCTCGGAGGGCACAGAATGCCCAGAGCATCATTGTTTTCTGCCTTATCATTGGCAATATAATGTATCCAGTGGAGTTGAATGGAAAAACTTCAGTGAGAAAGACAACTTAGCGTTGGAAAAGCTGTACTGTGACGTGAACGTAGAGGGACCAGTTAAATTGAACCTAGCCCAAGCAATTGCAAGGTAGGTTCTTTTCCTAATGCGATCCTCCCTGGGCCGTAACACTTATGCGCAAATGAAATAGGGTATTGTATTGTAAGTAACGTGCGTGAATATAGGTAAGTGAAATATCCGAAGGTTAAAACCACAAGTAATGTATCATATATAAGTGGTGAGGGGCAAATAAAAATTCTTGATTATAACGCGCACGTAGTAGTTGGTAATTGTGATTGGTCACTTTGACGAGTTAGTTACATAATGTTACAATACAGGGGGCGGGGATCCAGGGGAAGTCGGTACGTACCTCCCCTCCCTCCAACCCCCTCCCCTCTCACCAGACACCAAAGTTTTCCCAATGTGAGAATGCATGGTGAAGTGCAGCAGTGTGTTAATCCAATAGAAAATTCTCACAGCGTTTGCGTTTGCGTTTGCGTTTGCGTTTTGTAGCGACTTATACTGCAAATGAATGCCACAGCTTACACTCCTACTTCTCTCAACAGATGTAAAGTATTCTGGTAATACCAAAATAATCTTTGATTTTCCTTCTTTATGATAATTCGTAGTGATGGAAAGACTTTGCCACCATGGGAATGTGAAGTCTCAATCGACGTTAACAGCATGACCTTGTCATTAAAACCAACGGCAGGAATTTGCGCTGCAGGCTATGGCTCTGGAAAATTAAGGCGCTTTGCCACTCCACCTTGCTCCACAAACCCAGGTCACCCTCTCTCCACGAACTGGAGATGGTATTGGGAAGATAATGGCGGCGTCTGGTGTATGTACGAGAAGGACCACTTGGTAAATTGTACTTTTATAGTGTATCTTTAGACTGTGTTTGAAATCTTAGAGAGCCCAGAACATTCATATGTCAGGTTTTATATTGTTTCCTTTCATCGTCCTCCTCATCGCTAGACGTTACTTTCTGATTTCACTTCGTATTTTACAAGCTATCGTAATCGCAAAACTCTTCTTAAAAGATACAAAGTATTTGGTATTTTTCCCTTATGAAATATCTCTCAAATGTATCTGAAGTTTAAATCATAATTCCTGTAAAACCGATTAAAGATAAATTCAAGTAGTATTGCATGATGGCTGCCTATTTGAACACTTTGAAAAACTCTATTAAAAATATCGCATTATGGCACCCACTATAATTCTATAAAATCAACAAATGAGATGTCAATTCCTAAAGAGAACTAGCTACATCTTACTCGACAGTGTTAGTTGATCCGCATTAATATCGACTCACATTTTGTTTTTAAGGGAAGAAATCTACAAGAACTGATAGAGCACGCTTTCCTTGAAGGGTTGAAGCAAAATGAGACAGACTATACGTTCAATTTCAAAGTCAAAGCTCATGAGTACTACTTGGTCTTTCATTCAGAGAAAGGCATGCACCAAGTAAACATGCAATACGGTACCAAAAGAAAGGTGAAACGAAGACCAGAAAGATTTATATCACCTGAAGAAATGACCGTCTTTAAAAGGTAAGATGTCTTGTTCACAGATTATAATGATTGAAATGATGAATATACGATATTTCGTGTTACCGTACTCAGCAACTGCAATGCAGATTATGTAGTAGCTCATACCGACCAAGCGGGAGAATCGGACGGAAAAATGATTGGCGCGAAGTCACGACTTACGAACCAAGTACCATGAACAGCTACAAAGAAAAGTATTTTACAATAAAAATTCTTCCTTTGGTTCTTCGAGTGTGGACAGGAACTCACAATTCATCAAAAACCGCGGCTTCCTTTCTCGTTTCTTTTATTTTATGCTCACATCCAGAAAATCAGTTTTCTCATTAGGATGTCAAAGAACTGTGCGGCTGCGGGCCGGTCTTCTTTTTCCGAACCGAAAACACGCGTCAGCTTTCATTGAGGTTTTTTCAAGGGTTGAGCGCGCGGCTACGTAAGAGTTATACGATGAGAAATATTATCATATAAGCCGTATGGCTCTCTTTGCACTTATATTGAAAAATAGTAAGCAAAAATATTCTATGCGGATCATGTGGGATGACACGAGTTGGCCAGTAAAAGCAGAATGGCCCCGCAGGAAACCAGTGAAAAGAAGAGAGAAAGAAAAAAAAGGAGGCACTATCAAATGGTAAATGCTCCTTGACTGCATTAGCATGGGCCGGAAGGCAGAACACCATGCGCTCAGTCACGATGCACGGTCTTGGCTGCGTTCGTATGTACGTGATGACCTCAAACTTGGCAGAGCAAATATTTCCCTATTCGGCATTTAAACTTAGCTGCTAAATACAAACTATATATCTTCATCGTTTTTTCATGAACGGGGACATTGATTGTGTGTCAAGAAGTCAAGTTAGGTATTTTTTCGAGGAAGCAACAGCGGGAGCATCTCTGGTACGGAATAAATGGGCCATGGTTGGTTTTTTTATTTGTTTGTTTCCTGTTTTTGTTTGTTGTCGTTGTTTTTTTTTTACAGTCAATATCTTCGATTTTCACATTGGTTAGGGTTCCCTCCGTGGAGTCTGTATTGATGAAAGAACCCGAAATAAGAGCGGTTGAATCCCCTGTTCCAAGCCACTGGTCCTATACGCCAGCCAGTCAGCCATATACACGAGTGACGTTAGATTCATCTTCATGGGAATTCAAAAAGGTGGAACAACTATTCATAGCGTCGATGAGTAATGTGGTGATCAAGAAAATCGACCGCGTGCAGAATCTCTTCATGTGGGAAAAATATCGAAGGTAAGGAAAAACCCGAGCTCACGCATATAAAAACTCTCCATAAGAATTCATGATGGTTTAAAGAAGAAAGGGGGTGAAAAGAAATTATCCCCCCCACTCCCGCACTGGACGCGATTTTTCTCAAATAACAAGCAATAATTTCCAAGAAGAATTTATGAGTGTTTTGATGTAAAACTGTAAAACGAAGGCTGTTCATCAACGGTGTTGTCTACCCCTCCAATATTTCTTTCCAGTGTACAGCAGGAAATGTTCACGATCAGCTGCAGGCTCTTTTATCAACAAGCCTAGCAAATTTGTTTTTTCTTCAATAACGAAAACGAAAAGTTCCCCATCAGTCAAGAAATTTCCCAATTAAGATTTGAAAGTTGAAGAACATCACTCACGAAATGTCATTGGATGTTCCTCAGTTTTAACTGGATGAATCATTAAAAATGGCTGTTTTGTGGAGTGAACGATTGATTATTATTGCCCATTATGTAGAGATATAATAACAAAGATAACCTGTGTTAAATGAGAAGGCAGTTTGTAAACTTGTGAGACAGGTGAAATAAATTATCATATCCTTCTTTGCAGGAAAATAGACTACATGACACAACTAGCAAACGGTGATCAACAGAGGGTCAACGAGAAAAGACTTTTTCATGGAACCAGTCCAGATTCCGTAGAGGCTATCTGTAAAGAGAACTTTGATTGGCGTCTAAGCGGCACTGCGACCGGTACTAAGTATGGTCAAGGAAGCTACTTTGCGGTGAAAGCATCCCACAGCCACAACTACGCAAAAGAAGATGCCAATAAGTCTCGATTTATGTTCGTGGCCAAAGTCCTCGTGGGTTCGTATGCAAAGGGAAACCCCAGCTATCGAAGACCGCCCCACAAGCTACCTTTGAATGGAGGTGATACCCTTTATTACGACTCCTGTGTGGATGACGTGTTGCAGCCAAAGATGTTTATTGTCTTTGACATCGACCAGTCCTACCCAGAATATATCATTCATTACTAAACTGGTAGGTTGCGTCTTAAAAGATTCAATTCACAGAGAGCAATAACTTCCAATCCGAAACCTTGCTTCTCAACCACTCAATTTACGATGGGCTCGATACACTTTGCTGAGACTTCACTCGATTGCAAAAACATTGATCCCCAAAAGTCATGTTCAATCCTTTACTTTTTCATTGTTCATGAAAATCTTTGTTTACATCAATTCTATTCTTTCAGAAAAGCGTCGATGGCTTCTATCATTCACCGCAAGCAACTTATTGTGGTTATGATGTAAATATGTATTCACAAAACTGTACGGTTGTGAAAAGATGCGTGGTTTGATAAAAACTTTAACGCGTAAAAGGCTACTCATCTTTAGCTTACAGCACATGATTGATGTCAAATGCAACTGACATGGCCTTCCACTGACTGCTGTGGGATTCTTAATAGGAAGAAAACTCCCCCATAAAAGCTGAAATTTTTATTTTCAAACAACAAAGATAAGACTGAAATGGAAGTGCTTTTACAGTCGTACAACACTGTATTGCAACTAACAGTAAAAAGCTGTTATTTTGTTTGCTCGTTGCTCTGTGGACTAATTTTCAAAGGGATTTTCATTATCTTATGTGCAAGAAGTTATTATTACTTTAGTATAAAAATAAACACTTAAAAAATAGCGATATGAACCGACGTTTCGGAGTCTGCGAGACGCTATTGTCAAGGTGAATGTTAGGATAATGAATTCTACGAGTATTAATAACTGCAATAAATTTACACGATAAAGAATGCGGGACTGGAGTACAGAAATACTATAATACGGATTGAGTCGGATTGCGCGATCAGAGTTGGTTTTAGGTCTCTGAGGAATAATATCTCGTGTACTCAGCAATCGAACTTACTTTTGCATTTCTTTAAACCATCGAAACGCCTCAGTAGGTCTACAGGGACCTTGGCTTGTTTGTATTGGTAGTGTTTAGATATAGAAGATGACCGTTTTTCACGTCCTAACTTTTACCTTGACAGTGGCGTCATGAAGACTCCGAAACGTTCATATCGCTATTTTTTACGTGTTTATTTATAACTAAATCTTTATTGATAATAGTATAAAAATCACTCTGATTACATGAGTACTCCCAAATACAAAGTAATTCTCGGGACTATACTCGAGCAAACATAAAGATGTGGACATTTATCTGAAATAAAACCGTTTTCCAAAAACAACTGACCACAATGCTCCATTCGGCTGTTTCTTGATTTTTAGATTTTTCGTCTTCTTCCCTTGAATTGTAGATGTAATAAACATAGTGTAGGTTACTGCAATGGCGTTTTCATCGCAGTCTCCCTTGGTATAGCTTTCACACGGCACTGACTTGCCTCGAGCAATTTTTTTATAATTCTTCTTCTTCGGTCCAATGGGAATGCCTGCGACTTCCTCATTGATATCTTTCACCGCAACGAAGCGGCCGCAAGCGTGATTTATCAGCCAGTTCTGTTCTTCCAATTCGATTTTGATGAGATGAAGCCGTCAAAAGTAAAGAGACTTAAAACGAATGCCACCACTGCAGAAAACATTGAAAACTCACTCGACCAAGAAATCGTTGTCACGTTTTGAAACTGAACACTTTATAGAAATCAGAGCCAGAATTCCGAGAAAACAACAATTTTCTCCTTACACGAGTGGGGTGAAGGAAATGGCTTGTTTCTGCAGTTTTAACCTAACAGCTTGTCTGCTTAGTGAAATAATTTTTCACAAAAACGGTTGGCTAGGCTGCATAGTGTTGGAAAGCGTATCACAAAATTAACAAAAAATTAATTGAGAAGATATGCTTCTTAGTCTCTAACCCTAAACCTAAGCCATACCACTGCGTTGAAGGTAGAGCGTGTGCAGTGTTCAACACTGCTACGAGCGTGATTTATCAGTCAGTTCTGCTCTTCCAATTTGATTTAGTCGAGATGAAGCCGTCAGATTAAAGAGGGCTCAAGAAAATGCCTTTATTACAGAAAAGATAGAAAACAATCTCGAAATCGTTCGTCGCGTTTTGAAACTAAACATTTAATGGAAATGAGGGCTAGGATTCCGGGAAAACGACAATGTTCTCAATTCCAAGATGGAGCCGAAGACAAAAGAATTTTATTCATACAACAAGTGGTCTGCATGATGAATTAATTTTCAAGAATGAGCTCAATGAATCTAAACAAAAACGTTTACGTTAGGCTTTATCCTTCACTAACAAAGCGTTGGATAGCGTATTAAAGCGTATTAGATTTGCTTCGTTCAGAGTCATAAGTAACTTTAATTAATTAATTGACAAGTTCCGGTATTATTTCCGGTAATTGGTCTGCCGTTGACATATTGATTTATTTACATCTGAGTGAGTGACAAATTTGCATATTCTGACCCCTAACAAGAATCGTTTCTACGCTTCGTTTCTTCAGCTAACACATCGAGACACATCTCGTTAGAGTCTGCGGCGACGATATATCATGTGTTCGCCGTCAGCCAATCAGATGTCGGCCGCACCATGTGCTTTTAGGTTCAGCGCCAAGTAGGTTACAAAGTTCGTTTGTAGAAGTTTATTAAGCGGTAAATAAATAAGGTTTGCATCGCGATTAAAACGGAATCTTCTCATGATCTATACATCTGCAAGAATATGGCTGTTATTATGGACAATCTCCGCGTGTTCGTCTCGATAATCTTTGAGGCATTGACCGACAATCTTCGAAGCATTGACCAGTTTTAAACTCAAGGAGAATATTCGTCCTACCATGGAGAATCTCAGCTGGTTTATCTTGGAGCTCTATAAGGTATTGAACAGTATCGCCCACAGTTTCTTCCAATGGATGGCTTTGCTCGCTTCATATTGCCTGAATGTTTCATATTACCTGCTTGAATTGTTTCCAGTCGTTCTTGATGGCGCCCGGGAAGAACATGTTTGTTATTATGGACAATCTCCGCACGTTCATCCCAAAGCTCTTTGAGGCATTGAATGGTATCGCCCACAGTTTCATGGAATGGATGGCTTTTCTCGCTTCATATTGCCTTAATGTTTCATATTACCCGCTTGAATTGTTTTCAGCTGTTCTCGCCAGGGTCTGGGAGAATGTGGTTGTTATTTTGGACAATCTCTGCGTGTTCATCCCAAAGCTACTCGAGGTATTGAACAGTATCGCCCACAGATTCTCGGAATGGTTGGCTTTGCTCGCTCCATATTGCCTTACTTTTTCATGTTACCTGCTTGAACTGCTTTCAGCTTATCTCGTCAGGGTCTGGGAGAATATGGTTGTTATTATGGACAATCTTCGCATATTCATCTCGATGATCTTTGATACATTGATTAGCATAAGATACTGGCAGAATAGTTGCGCTATCTTGGAGAATCTCCAATGGTTAATCTCGGAGATTTTTGAGGCATCGAACAGATTTGGCCAGGGTTGCTTGGAATGGATTCCTCTGCCAGTTTCATATTGTTTTATTTTTCTATGTTACCTAATTAAATGGTTCTCAGTCGTTCTCGTTAGCTTCTGGGAGAATATGGTGGCACTTATTAACAACATGCGCATGTTCGTGTCAATAATCTTTGAGGTATTGACCAGAAATGGTGCCATCAGCTTAGCGAATTACCTGGAAAGCTATTTATTCATAGGCGTCTTGTCTGTGGTCCTAATAATTTGGTTGTGTTACTTTATGGCTGTAATGCTAAGGACTCGTTAGGGGGTAAGTGAGGGAGTAATTGTCAATAGATAATGAAGGACTATAGACTTTCCGATCGATCTGCCGACTTACTTACTGACTACCTGGTGGACTGATCATGAGAAACTGACGGCTGGCTAAAAGGCCGAAAAAGTCTGTCTGAATGACTTTATGTCCCACTGACTAACTGACCGAGTGACAGAATAACCGACCGAGTGAGTGATTGGTTTTTCTCTTTAGAAGCAGCTTGTCTAACACCGTAGTTTATATGATAATATATTTTAACACCCTAAAGCGTATATAATTATCCATATATAAAAGTAGACGTTTTAATAGTTAGACCTTTTAATATTTGAATTAGATTTTTTAATAATAATATTCAATTCTTATATTGTAAATAGATAGATCCTACATTTTACCGAATCAATTGATTTTTGAAAAACCCACTCGGGAAAATCAATTGCAATAAAGTTATTGTTTTGCAATTATGGTAACTGTCTCTATGAATCGTTTTAAAGTTCAAGGCAAGCAGTTATAAAAGTTTGCGTACGAATGTTCTTTTGAAATCACCAGACCAACTTGCATTTCAAACTATTCCCAAATAACTACAGGAAGAGTTTCTAGGACTGAAACAAGACCTACACAATCATGAAATTTTCCCGTTTACACTCTTTTGAGCCCATAGTTTATTTTCTTTAGGTCTCTAAGCTGATTTGTTAGAACTTTAACGCGTGACAATTCATCCCTTCACGCTGAACCTTACTAAAATTTCAGTCCCTTTATAAGTAATTTTGAATTACTGAATATAGTTTTACCTGCTGTAAATTACGATTCTCTCTTCGTTAATTCCATTCAGGCAGTGTTAGCTAACTAATTACAGATATACAAGCATCAGAATCTGATCATTTGGAGGTTGTCTTTCAGTAAATCGATTTTTAAACCAATAGTGCCTATATATGGTACTTTACTGGAACTTTGCTCCGCGAAATCATTTTCACAGGTGATAGAAAAACCAGAACACAAGAAGACGAAGAGAGCGCCAGGAAAAGAAGAGCAGAAAGTGATGTACAATGTTAGAAATGGGTTAAAGTATTATACTAAATTCAACTGGACTATGGTGAATTACGGTAATAGTTCCTGCATTGTAAACATACGATTGCTTAATTTGATTTTCCTTTGTAAGCTTAAGAATTGCTTTAAACGAAGTCACAGATACTGAGGAGTAACAGTTCCTGTTATTTATTTTCAAATCCCTTCAAATGAAGTAAAATTTTCATATTACCCTTCACAAACTGCAGCCTCATCCCTTATTGGCGATAGCAAGTCTACACCATACCTCTGGCAGTTCAAAGAAGCAGATTCCTATACTTGGAAAAATTTCGGCCGCTCTGACAATGTTGTTCTGGAAGAGCTTTTCTGTGACGTGAACAATGTGGAGGTTGAAATAGAACTTGAAGACACCACAATATAGTAAATATGTATTTATTCTCAAAAAATACGGAAAAACGTATTCATTTGCTCATCAAAGGTACAATTTTTCATACCTCTAGCTAGAACCTTTGGTAACCTTAAAATTACAGTAAACATCCCACTTGAAAATGATATCTACGGAGACCACAGATCGCCGAAATGTTCGGTCCTTTGATTTGTTTTCTTGAGGATATAGAACGGCTTCATTTAGAGAAGAATACTCGCAAAAATGAATGTCACAGATGCTCCTTTGAAGCTAGTCAATTTCTCGGCAAAACTTAATATCTGTAAAAATCTTCAGTAACTACCCGTACGTGTTATTGCCTTTCTTATTGTGCGATACTTAAACATATGTCAAGGCTTCAGTTAGTTATTATCCTTCTGCGGCGTGATTAGCGACGCAGAATGAGTTCAGGGGAAACGGAAAAAGATTGGAATCAGTTTACTGAAGTACCGCAGCCTGGTGCGGCCCACACTGGTGCGGCAGAGGAGGAAAGGAGGGAAACGAGAGGTCTGAAAGAGGTCTGGCACTAACGTCTGTGCCAGAAACAAGGCGGATCTCCGACAAATGTACATTGCTTATCCGCTAAAATGCGTGGGCCTCACCACTTGTGATGCAGCGCCAATTTGAGCCTGCAAGCAGATCAATGGCGCTCAGCTCACTAACACATCGTTTGGAACAGGCTAACGCATTGTCACTACTTTTCGTTTCTATTCAGACATTCAAGAAAGTTATCAAGAAAGCTGTCAGCCGATTTTCACACAATGTCCATGAGCTGGATTTCCTCCTTCGACCAGTATTTGATCCGTCGATACTCAACACCGTATATATCAAAGAACGCGACAACAAGTTTCCTATACTGTGGGTTTGGTATTGGGAAGACATCGATGAATGGAAAAAATAACCTGAAACGAATGTAAGTAGTAGTAACTGTCACGCAAAAATATGGTCAAGCAAGGGCCCGGCCGAGTATGTTTCTTCCGTAATTTACTTTAACAGTTTATTTTGTACCGCAGTGAAATTGCACGGCCTCAAATTTTGTTTACTTTAATGATATATATTCCCTTACCTTCAATAAGGCAAAGGAACAGACTTTCATTCGAAAAATAAAAGTTTGACGAACAAGATAAAATAAGCATTGCACATGACAGCTTAAGATGAAAATAAAAAGGGAGGAGAATCCTCGGGCTGAGATTTCATGGTTATGGATGATCCAAACTCGAAACTTCTTTAAACTTCTGTTTCAGCTTTGTTCTGGGACAAAACAAGAGCAAATTGAACCATCGTATCTAAATGGAGACCCTGCTTACAACTTTCAAATCGGTGGGAACGATTATGTCATATATTTTGAAGGTACATTCATGTATCAAAGGATTGCAGATCCAGAAGTCCAAGCGGTTTTTTTTGTCAGGAGAAGACCAATGTTTGCTTCAAGGTCAGCACTGCAGACCACAGTGAGGTGAGTGAACGCAGACTGTGCTCTAATTGTGAAGAGTTACACATTTTTTTAAAAAGTCACTGACAGAGAGACTAGTTATTTTGTAGGCTGTCTCGGAACAGAACTAGGCTTTCAATCGATAAAAAGCCGAAACATAATAATGGTGATGATGATGATGATAATAATAATGATTTGAATAATTGACAGTCTCCATGTAAGTGGATGGTGTGTTCAGCATTGTTGCTTATCCATCAGATCTCCATGAACTCAATTAAAACAAGTGCACCTTCGCAAGATTTTGGCGGTTACAAGCAATGCATATATCATTCATATTTTCATTTTGCGACTGACTGAGAATTTGATGCAGGCTGAATTGTTCGCCATTGAAGCACTTCACTTGTTCCTGTATTGACGAAGGGGTTGGGGAAAAGTGTGTGGGGCATCGAAAATGCTTAATTTGTTAACTTAAGATTCGTTTCTGATAAACGTTTAGATATCGTACTACGTAATACCTTGAATGCTTTCAGTAGGACTCAAGAGCTCTGGATCCCGTCTAACCACACCCATCCGTGTTTCCTCGCCTTTGTTATTATTGCAGCAATCCGAAAGGTCTGGTAATGGCCGTTAAACGGACTAACCTGGAAAAGGAAAGCAAAGAATACCGAACTGTGAGTCAAAGCTTTCACAAAACAATGCCAGAACACCAAGCCCTTATAGTGATGGTGGAAAAAATGACAAATAATAATTTATTCCAGAAATACAAAAGGTGATTGCTGAGGAAGGGCTAATAGGAGGGAAAAACAATATGCACACCGGAACCTGTTCGTGATTAATTCTGCCTAGTGTAAAGAAGCCTAAGATGTGGACATTAACTAATTCACAAAGTTATTCTTTAGGGTTACTTCCGCCGCTTATGGCCTAAACCTTTACACGAGAGTTAATGATGGAAAAGGTAATAACGTCTGAGGCCTAGTTTTGTTATAACTTTATTAAAGTTTTATAAACTGTTAGTTTTCCTTTTCTTCTGCGGACTTCCCTGAAAACCACTAGGAGTGATGGAGGTCTCTCAAAATTTTTAGTCCTAAAGCAGACTTTTATTCTTAATTTACAACAGTCTGCCGCTACAAATTCTTTTCTACCTTATATGATGAATTTAATGCCATGGTACTAACTGGCCAACAGAGTTGTGAAATCTCGCTTTTTCTTGCTGAGATGGAACCGAAATTCTCTTGCAAGTTATGTGTCCACGAACTGGGTATGGCCAGTAAGGATTACTGCGTCGTGCTGTACCTGTTTCTCTGCTTAATCTTCCAATAAACACCGCATTCTATAACTGGTGGGTTTCTGCTTCAAAATCCCTTCAAGGTACGTTTGAGAGGTTGAAGATGCTAACATTGTGGTTATTGGTAGTTGCAGCGAGGTCGCTTGGGAAGCTGTAGAATGACCACCACGAGCAGTGGATCCATTGCTCCCCTCCCTCCAACCCCCTCCCCTCTCACCAGACACCAAAGATTTCCCAATGTGAGAGTGCATGGCGAAGTGCAGCAGTGTGTTAATCCAATAGAAAATTCTCACAGCTTTGCGTTTTGTGGAGACTTATGCAAATACTGCAAATGAATGCCACAGCTAACACTCCTACTTCTCTCAACAGGTGTAAAGTATTCTGGTAATACCAAAATAATCTTTGATTTTCCCCCTTTATGATAATTCGTATTGATGGAAAGACTCTGCCACAATGGGAATGTGAAGTCTCAATCGACGTTAACAGCATGACCCTGTCATTAAAACCAACGGCAGGAATTTGCGCTGCAGGCTATGGCTCTGGAAAGTTAAGGCGCTTTGCAACTCCACCTTGCTCCACAAACCCAGGTCACTCTCTCTCCACGAACTGGAAATGGTATTGGGAAGATAATGGCGGCGTCTGGTGTATGTACGAGAAGGACCACTTGGTAAACTTTACTTTTATAGTGTATCTTTAGACTGTGTTTGAAATCTTAGAGAGCCCAGAACATTCATATGTCAGGTTTTATATTGTTTCCTTTCATCGTCCTCCTCATCGCTAGACGTTACTTTCTGATTTCACTTCGTATTTTACAAGCTATCGTAATCGCAAAACTCTTCTTAAAAGATACAAAGTATTTGGTATTTCTCCCTTATGAATTATCTCTCAAATGTATCTGAAGTTTAAATCATAATTCCTGTAAAACCGATTAAAGATAAATTCGAGTAGTATTGCATGATGGCTGCCTGTTTGAGCACTTTGAAAAACTCTATTAAAAATATTGCATTATGGCACCCACTATAATTCTATAAAATCAACAAATGAGATGTCATTTCCTTAAGAGAACTAGCTACATCTTACTCGACAGTGTTAGTCGATCCGCATTAATATCGACTCACATTTTGTTTTTAAGGGAAGAAATCTACAAGAACTGATAGAGCAAGCTTTCGTTAAAGGGCTGAAGCGAAATGAGACAGACTATACGTTCAATTTCAAAGTCAAAGCTCATGAGTACTACTTGGTCTTTCATTCAGAGAAAGGCATGCACCAAATAAACATGCAGTACGGTACCAAAAGAAAGGTAAAACGAAGACCAGAAAGACTTACATCACCTGAAGAAATAACCGTCTTTAAAAGGTAAGATGTCTTGTTCACAGATTATAATGATTGAAATGATAAAGCAAAATATACGAGATTTCGTGTTACCGTACTCAGCAACTGCAATGCAGATTATGTAGTAGCTCATACCGACCAAGCGGGAGAATTGGACGGAAAAATGATTGGCACGAAGTCACGACTTACGGACCAAGTACCATGAACAGCAACAATAATTAATAATTAGCAATAATTTCCAAGAAGAATTTACGAGTGTTTTGATGTAAAACTGTAAAACGAAGGCTGTTCATCAACGGTGTTATCTACCTCTCCAATATTTCTTTACAGCGCGCAGCACGAAACGTTCACGATCAGGCTCTTTTATCAGCAAACCTAGAAAATTTGTCTTTTCTTCGGTAACGAAAACGAAAAGTTCCCCATCAGTCAAGAAATTTCCCAATTAAGATTTGAAAGTTGAAGAACATCACTCACGAAATGTCATTGGATGTTCCTCAGTTTTAACTGGATGAATCATTAAAAATGGCTGTTTTGTGGAGTGAACGATTGATTATTATTGCCTATTACGTAGAGATATGATAGCAGAGATAACCTGTATTAAATGAGACGGCATTTTGTAAACTTGTGACGCAGGTGAAATAAATTATCAAATATCTCTATGTAGGAAAAAAGACTACATGACACAACTAGCAAACGGTGATCAACAGAGGGTCAACGAGAAAAGACTTTTTCATGGAACCAGTCCAGATTCCGTAGAGGCTATCTGTAAAGAGAACTTTGATTGGCGTCTAAGCGGCACTGCGACCGGTACTAAGTATGGTCAAGGAAGCTACTTTGCGGTGAAAGCATCCCACAGCCACAACTACGCAAAAGAAGATGCCAATAAGTCTCGATTTATGTTCGTGGCCAAAGTCCTCGTGGGTTCGTATGTAAAGGGAAACCCCAACTATCGAAGACCACCCCACAAGCAACCTTTGAATGAAGCTGGTATCCTTTATTACGACTCCTGTGTGGATGACGCGTTGAAGCCAACTATGTTTATTGTCTTTGACATTGATCAGTTCTACCCAGAATATATTATCCAGTATTGAACTGTTTGTTTGCATCTGAAAAGATTCAATTCACAGAGAGCAACAACTTCCAATCCGAAACCTTGCTTCTCAACCACTCAATTTACGATGGGCTAGGTAAACTTTGCTGAGACTACACTCGATTGCAAAAACATTGACCCCCAAAAGTCATGTTTAATCCTTTACTTTTTCATTGTTCATGAAAATCTTTGTTTCATGAAAATCTATTCTTTTAGGAAAGCGTGGGTGGCTTCTACCATTTACCACGTGTAACTTGTTATGGTTATGATGTACATATGTACCCATAAAATTGTCCGGTTGTGAGAAGAAACTGTAGAAACTGTACTTTCAAAAAAGTTGAGAAAGGAAAAACTGTGTGGTTTTGTAAATACTTTAAAAGTTGAAAAGCAGGCAATGTCTATAATATGCCCAGGACTGCCCTACCAGGAGGCTATCGAACTGGTGAAAATTGTCCCTGTTGTAGATTTCATCACAGGGCTATGTGGTTATGCCTTTGACACCATTATTAAGGTCCCTGGACACCGTCTGAACAGTTTGATCCCATTTAGTGGACCGTCACGTTATGTTCAGAGATGCAACAAGCACTTCATCGTACCTAAATGCAAGACTTATCACTTTAGAAATAATTTTACTATTAGATCCTGTATTAATAACATATATACGTGGATTTTCAGTCTTTTTTTAATATACTTTGTGTTTTGTATACTATTTTATATACTTCTATATTTACTGTACTTAGTTTTGTAAATACGCAATTCAGCCTTCGGGTTGCAAAGTATTGATGATTAAACTATCTATCTATCTATCTGTAAAAGAGTTTCACACTTTTAGAGGCTGAGAAAAGGCTTATTAGTTTTAGCTTCTGGCACATGATTGATGACAACTGCAACTGATATGGCATTCCACCGACTGCTCTGGGATTCTCAATAGTAAGAACAGTCCTCCATAAAAGCTGATATTTTTATTTTTAAACAACAAAAATAGGACTAAAAATGGAAGTACTGTTACAGTCATACAACACTGTTTTGCAACCGACGATAAAAAGCTGCTGTTTTTTAGTTGTTCTGTGGACTAATTTCCCAAAGGGATTTCATTATCTTATGTGTAAGAAGTTACTATTTGTTAAGTATAAAAATAAACACGTAAAAAATGGCGATGAACCCACGTTTCGGAGTCTTCAAGACGCAATTGTCAAGGTAACTTTTATCGTTAGGATAATGAATTCTGCGAGTATTAATGACTGCCATACATTTACATGATAAAGAATGCGCGAATAAATTACAGAAATACTTTAACACGGATTAAGTCGGATTGCACGATCAGAGTTGGTTTTAGGTCTCTGATGAATAACATCTCGTGCACCAAGCGATCGAATTTTTCTTTTGCATCTCTTTAGAACATCGAAGTGCCTCAGTAGGTGTGGACAGACATGAACAACGGTCATTTTCTACATAGAAATACTACTAAGACAGACATGGCAAGGTCCCTGAAGACATACTGACCTACTCACTCGACCAAGAAATAGTCTGCCCCGTTTTGAAACTGAACACTTTATGGAAATGAGAGCTAGAATTCCGAGAAAACGACAATGTTCTCCTAACATGACTGGGTTGAGGAAAATGGCTTGTTTTTGCAATTTTCAACCTGACAGCTGGTCTGTTTAGTGAAATGATTTTCACAGAAACTGTTGGCTGGGTAACATAGCGTTGGAAAGCGTATTATAAAATTAAAATAACATAATTATGCAGATATGCTTCTTTTTTTCACGCTGCGCCCATACCACCGTGTTGAGAGTAGAGTGTGTTCAGTGGTGAATTTCAGAACCAAAAAAGATATCCAAATTCCATTCAGTACATGTTATAGCACAGACTTAATTTTTAGTGTCATTCATCACTGGTTATCGATTAGAACTGAGGTCCACAAATTTCAATGCTGCCACGAGCATGATTTATCAGTCAGTTCTGCTCTGCTCAAATTAAAGAGGGCTCAAAAAATGCGCCTTCATTATAGAAAACATTGAAAACCCTCTCGAAATCAATTGTCGCGTTTTAAACCAAACATTCAATGAGAAATGAGGACTAGGATTCCGAGAAAACGACAGTATTCTCAATTCCAAAATCGTTCCGAAGACAAAAGAATTTAATTTAGACAACGGGAAGCCAGCGTAAGGAATTAATATTAAAAAATGGATTCATTGAATCTACACGAAAACGTTTGGCAAGGATTAATTCTTGGTAAACTGCTTTTTGTGCAGATTGTCCTACGATTCATTTTCATTTTCAACGTTACAAGCGAGAGACCTGTGAAAATCTCAAGGGAAAATATCGACCAACTTCCGGTTTCAAACACACGTCCGTGCTCATTCCTCTCTATTACTATGGAAACGTCATTGAAGCGAAACCAAAAATGTTAACCTCACTTTCATGAAGAATGAATAAATTACCACTTCCGTGTTAAACACCTCCCTTCCCAGCTGTAGAATTGCGAGCTTCATAGCTATTACAAGACTACTAACGACCTTTCGCAACGGAAAACGAGATTTTATGTACCATCAACCGTAGCCAAACGAGGATGATTTGCGACAGAATGGATCGTTTGAGCGGAAATCTCTCGGCTGATTACACCGCAGTTGTGGCGATAAAAACTTTGGCCATATTGTTCATAATCATCCTGACAGTTCAGTGCGTATTTCAAACACTATGTTTTGTCTGCTTGTTTTGTGGATATTTCGCGCTAATAGTGAGTAGCGTGTGTATGATTTTGGTGAATGCGTTAGTTATTATTGTATGGGTCGCATTCGGCGAAAGGGGTTCCGATGTGGTTGAACAGATCAAGAAGCTCTTTGATTCCTTATGTACCATCATCTGTAATCAAACAAGAATGATTTTCGATAGAATGGATCGTTTGAGGGGTCATTTTTCGGCAAGTTACGTGGTGCTCGTAGTGTTCGTGATCATCCTGATAGTTCAGGACGTATTTCAACTACTTTGCTATTTCTGCATGTTGTGTGGTTGTTTTGCGCTAATTGTGAGTAGCGTTTATATGATTTTGGAGGACATGTGGGTTATTTTTGTGTTGGTCTTCCTTGGCGACAACGATTTCAATGTGGTTGAACAGCCCAAGACGCTATTTGCTTTTTTATTTACCATCATCCGTAGCCAAACAAATAAGATTCATGACAGGGTGGATAGCTTGAGGAGATATTCTTCGGCTGATTGCGCCGCGGTTGCCGCGATAAAAATTTTCGCCATTCTCGTGATTATTCTGACAGTACAGTGCGTATTTCATTTACTATGTTATTTCTGCGTATTTTATGGATATCTCGCTGTTGTGAGTGGTGCAAGTATTATTTTGGTGAAGATGTGGGTTATTTCTGTGTGGGTTCTCTGGTACTACTGGAACCTATTCCTGGAACTGATTGAAGCTATCCTATGTTGCCTTAGTTCCACTACGTTACGTGGCGTGGTTACTGTCGTTTCATCTTTCTCAGACTGGGCCTTAAATTTGAGAATCGACTGGAGAAGTTTTTGGCAACTGTGTTCTTTGTGCGGCATAGCAATAATAGTGATGCTTTGGATTAAACATGGCACGAGAGTTATCTGTGGCAAGGTCTCCGGAGGTATGAGAGAGGCCAAAAGACTCCTCAATTATGTGTTTGCCGTTTGTAGCGACCACGGCAGGATCATTCTACGTTTGAGCAGACGTTGCGATGCAAAAACGACGGTGATAATTATTGCTGTCATTTTTTTTGCTTTTACTTTTACCTATGTAAGTATCTTTCCGTCCGGTCACTCTTACTGGTCGATCTTTGCTCATCCTTTTCATCTAACTGGGACATATCTCGTTCGAGTCTGGGAGAATATGGTGGTTAGGTTGGACAATATCCGTTTGTTCGTCTCGACAATCTTTCAGCCATTGACAAACATCACCGACGGTTTCTGGAAATGGATGGCTTTGCTCTCTAGGGACGAGGCAGCGCAGGTTTGTCAAATTTGTTTATTTGTGGACTCATTAAAATTCATTGATTCCCAGACACCCATATTAATTACCTTTAAGAGACTGTCGCGTGCAAAACTGTATGTAAATTTCTAATTGGTTTCCTGCCGGTGTCACCTTAGAGGCACTTCTTGATACTACCTATTTTAATACCTTTTTGTCTAGTTTAAAGAAGCATTAATCTCGTCGTGGTTCCAATGAAATAACATAACGTATGATTATTTCTTAAACGCGTATACATGGAACAAAAGTTTATTGTAAAGGCTGGTTTTTCATTGTTTACGATGAACAAAGACAGCTCGTAGCCAGTTAATACAATCAGCCTCAAAACAGTACATCCTGTAAAGACACTGGAAAATTCATTAACGATTTAGAAAATAATACCCACTTAAAATAACTAAGTCAGTCCATCTGCATTAAAATCAATTTACATTTTCATTGTGTTTCTTAGGGAACAAACCCACAAGAATTGAAAGAGGAAACTTTTCTACAAGAGCTACCTCGAAATGGGCCAGACCATACGTTCAATTTCAAGGTCAGAGATGATATAACCTATCTTAAAAATTCTTTGGTCTAGTTTAAAGAAGCACTAGCCTTGTCCTGGTCCCTAAGAAATAACATAACGCATGATTATTGCCGAAATGCATATACAGGGAAGAAAAGTCTATTGTAAGGGCTGGTTTTAATTGTTTACGATGAGCAAAGACAGTTTGTAGCCAGTTACTACAATCAGGCTCATAACAGTATATCCTGTAGAGACATCGGAAAATCAAGAAACGATTTAGAAAATAATAACCAGCTTAAGATAGCTATCTCTGACTTGAATGTGTCGGTCAATCTGCATTAAAATCAACTCTCATTTTAATTGTGTTTCTTAGGGAAGAAACCCACAAGAAGTGACAGAGCACGCTTTTCCGCAAGAGCTACCGCAAAGTGGTCCAGATCAGACATTCAATTTCAAGGTCAAAGATGATGATATTGTGGACAATAGCAGCTGGTTTATCTCGAAGATCTTTGGGCAGTTTACCAGTATCGCCCATGTTTTCTTAGAATGGATGGCTTTGCTCACTCCGTATTGTCTAACTTTTGCAGTAGCATGTTACCTTCTGGGATCGTCCTCAGTCGTTCTCGGTAAAGTCAGGGAAAATATGATTGTTATATTATACAATCTTCGCATGTTCATCTCAATGATCTTTAAGGTATTGACCAGCAGGAGATACTGGGAGAATATTTGTGTCATTTTGGAGAATCTATGTTGGTTTTGTTTGCAGATCCTTGAGGCATCGAAGAATTTTGCCCATTCTTGCTTCAAATGGATTACTGTGCTCGCTTCACTTATTCTCCTTAGAGTCTGGGAGATTATTATTTTTATTCTGGAAAATCTTCGTATCATCATAGCGACAATCTTTGAGGTGTTGACCAACATTAGATACTGGGAGATTAGCTGTGCCATTTTGGAGAGTCTCCGCTTTTTCACCTGGCAGATCTCTGATGCATTGATAAATATTACCCACAGTTTCTTGGAATTTATCTGTTTGCCGGCTTCGTGCCGTTCCACTGTTTCACGTTACCTATTAATGTCGATCGCAGTCGTGGTTGTTAGAGTCCGGGAGATAATGGTGGCAATTTTGGACAATCTCCGCATCTTCACAGCGATGATGTTTGAGGTATTGACCAACATTAGATACTGGGAGATTAGCTGCACCATTTCGGACAATCTCCGCTTGTTCATCTTGAAGATCTCTGATGCATTGACAAGTATTACCCACCGTTTATTAGAATACGTACTCAAATCGATCTCAGTCGTTGTAGCTAAACTCTGGGAGATAATGATGGCAATGTTCATCTTGAAGATCTCTAATGCATTGACAAGTATTACACACCATTTCCTGGAATGGATCAATTTGCTCGCTTCATATTGCGTCTCTGTTCCACGTTCCGTGCTTAAATCGATCTTACTCGTTGTTGCTAGACTCTGTGTGATAACGGTCCCTGATGCATTGACAAGAATTACCCGCCGTTTCTCGGAATGGATCATTGGCCGTGTGTACGACAACTACCACCGTGAAACCAACGAGGGCGATCATCCGAGAGAAGGTAAGACATTGACCGCTCGTTTTTATTAGTTAACCCCTTTGCATTCGTTGCAGCCCTTTACATAGCTTTGTCAAACTCTGGTTAGTTAATAACTTATACGGCTTTCAAACTACCTAACTTACTAACGTACTATATCTAATTGACTCAGTGACGAAACCGACGCCTGACATTTTCATTGATTTTCATATTGACCTAACTAATTGCCGTACTTTCCAATAGCGCTAACACTGAGGATGCGAGCAGACGATGAAACTATTTTAGACTTTGCTAACTGCACTCATTTTCTTGATCTCTCAAGAAGAAATTAAGTCTAGGTACAAAAAGGCAAACCTTTTTTTAGCTTCCTTTTGATTTTATAATAGACTATATAAATTTTGGATGGTGAGAAATGAACGTGAATTATCGGTTTTCTTTCAAAATGACAGTTTGCAATTTATTTATTTGTCTCTTTAGAAGCGTGTCACGTTGATGACGAAAGACCTACGGACCCAATTAGCCAATGGTATCTCCTTGGCAAATGCACGGAAGACATCGGAAGCTCAGAGCATCATTCTATTCTGCCAAATAGTTGTCAATATAATGAAAGCAGTGATGCTGAATTGGAAAGCTCTAGTGTGACTAACAACACAACGTTGGAAAATCTCCACTATGACGAAACTCCTGAGGGAACATTTAACCTTAACCCAGGCCAAGCAAATGAAAGGTAATTTCTGATCTTATTTTAACATTTTGGATTCTTACCCCTGTGCGAAAGTAAACTGGGTTGATCGAGTAGAAATTTTGCTTCCCAGCCCTCCTCCCACGCTCTATCCAAAATCCTGGATACGCATATATGACCCATTTTCTGGCCCCTCCTAAATGTTTATCTAAGAGTACTTTTATTGGTAACCATTTTCTTCGGGAAATTTAAAGGCAAAGAGATGCCACAGATTACACTTCTAAATCCCTCCAAGCCGAGAGTAATTCTTGTGATACTCAAATTATTAATTTATTTCCTCCTGTGTGATATTCCTAAGTGATGAAGATAATCAGCCTCTGTGGGAAAGGAATGTTTTAATCAACGTTAACAGCATGACCTCTTCATTAGAGCACGTGTGGGTAGGAGACATAGAACACTTGGAGCAACACTCTACTCTGACAATTGATTCTCAATATAGTGAAAGCAGTGGTGCTATCACAAATAACAGAACTTTGGAAAATCTTCAGTGTGACGAAATTGTTGAGGGACAATTTCACCTTAACTCAGCGGAAGCGGATGAAAGGTAATTTGTTTTCTTAGTGTAATCTTCCTTTTGGGATTTTAACCCATTAGGGGAAATAAACTGAGCTAATCGGGTAAAATTTTCCCCACTCCCCCCTCGCACTCACGTCTTATCCAAACTATTGGATACGCCTATAAAACTGGTGGTATTTTCTGACCTCTCCTCAACATTTAATTTATAGCACATTTGTTAATGACTTTAAAAACAAACAGATGCCACAGATTACACTTCTACGTCCCTCAAAGCTGAAATAAGTCTCGTTATACTCACATTATCTTTGATTTCCTTCTATGTGATATTTCATAGTGATGAAGATACTCCGCCTCCATGGGAAAGGAATGTTTTAATCGACGTTAACACCATGACCTCTCCATTAGAGTACGTGTGCACAGAAGACACAGACCGTTTGGAGCATCACTCTCATCTGACAATTGATCCTCAATATAATGAAAGCAGTGGTGCTGAATGGAAAAGCTCTAGTATCATGAATAACACAGCGTTGGAAAATCTCCACTGTAACGAAACTGTTGAGGGACTATTTCACCTTAACCCATCTCAAGCAGATGAAAGGTGATTTGATTTCTTAGTGTAGCCTCTTTTTTGGACTCTAATCCATGGGGGGTTATATAATGGGCTAATCGAGTAACATTTCCCCTCCCCTCCGCTCCCACACCCTTTCCAAAATCCTCGATAGGTCTTTAAAATTCAAGTTTTTTACTTTGACTTCTGCTCTATATTTGATGTACGGCACTTTTTTTAGGGACTTCAAAAGCAAACAGATGCCACAGATTACACTTCTATGTCCCTCCAAGCTGAAATACTCTTGTGATACTCAAATTATCTTTGATTTCCTCCTGTGTAATATTTCTTAGTGATAAAGATTCTCCGCCTCCATGGGAAAGGTATGTTTTAACCGACGTTAACGGCATGACATTGTCATTAGAGCACCTGTGCACAGAAGATGTAGAACGCGTAGAGTATCACTCTCCTCTAACAATTGATTGTCAATATAATGAAAGCAGTGGTGCTGAATGGAAAATCTCTGGTATGACAAACAACACAACGTTGGAAAATCTCCACTGTGACGAAACTGCTATGGAACAATTTCACCTTAACCCAGGCCAAGCAAATGAAAGGTAATTTTTTTTCTGAGTGTAATCTTTTTCGGGTTTTTAACACATGTGCGCGAATAAAATGGGTTGATCGAGTACAAATTTTGCGGCCCCCTTATACGTTATTGAAATCCCTGGATACCCCACTTATAACCCATGTCATTTTCTGGCCCCTCCTTAATATGTGTACAGCACTTTTTCAGGACTTCAAAACAAACAAAAGCCACAGATTACACTCCTACGTCCATCAAAGCTGAAAATAACTCTTGTGATACTCAAATAATCGTTGATTTCCTCCTTTGTAAAATGTTGTTAGTGATGAGGATACTCCACCTCCATGGGAAAGGAATGTTTTAATCGACGTCAGCAGCATGAACTCTTCATTAGAGTACGTGTGGCACTTTTTTAGGGACTTTCAAAGCAAAAGATGCCACAGGTTATCCTTCTTCGTCTCTTAAAGCTGAAATAACTCTTTTGATACTAAAATAATCGTTAATTTCCTCCTTTGAGAAATTTTGTTAGTGATGAAGATGCTCAGCCTCCATGGGAAAGGAATGTTTTAACCGACGTTAACAGCATGACCTCTTCCTCAGAGCACGTGTGCACAGAAGATATAGAACGCGTAGAGCATCACTCTCCTCTGACAATTGATTTTCAATATAATGAAAGCAGCGGTGCTGAATGGAAAATCTCTAGTATAACAAACAACACAACGTTGGAAAATCTCCACTATGACGAAACTGCTATGGTACAATTTCACCTTAACCCAGGCCAAGCAAATGAAAGGTAATTTGTTTTCTAAGTGTAATCTTTTTCGGGTTTGTAACACATGTGCGCGAATAAAATGGGTTGATCGAGTACAAATTTTGCGGCCCCCTTCATGATACGTTATTGAAATCCCTGGATACCCCACTTATAACCCATGTCATTTTCTGGCCCCTCCTTAATATGCGTACGGCACTTTTTCAGGACTTTAAAACAGACAAAAGCCACGGATTAAACTTCTACGTCCCTCAAAGCTGAAAATAACTCTCGTAATTCTTAAATAATCGTTGATTTCCTCCTGTGTAAAATTTTGTCAGTGATGAAGATACTCCGATTCCATGGGATAGGAACGTTTTAATTGACGTCAACAACATGACCTCGTCATTAAAGCATGTGTGCGCAGAAGACATACAACGCTTGGAGCATCACTCTCCTCTGAAAATTGATTGTCAATATAATAAAAGCAGCGGTGCTACATGGGAAAGCTCTAGTATCACAAATAACACAACGTTGAAAGATCTCCTTTGTAACTATACTGCTGAGAAACCATTTAAACTTAACGATGGTCAAGCAAGTGAAAGGTAGTTTGTTTTTTTAGTGTGATCTTTTTTGGATTCGTAACACATGTGCACAAATGAAATGGGTTTATCGACTACAAATTTTGCGCCCTTCCCACCCTCTATTTAAATTCCAGAATACCCCACTTAGAGCCCGTGTCATTTTCTGCCCTCCTTCCCCCTTAACAGTTCCGAAGGACCAACTGCTTACATCTTGCCAAACTCTCTCCTTGGTGAATACTCGGAAGGCATAGAATGCTTGGAACATCACTGTTTTCTGTCCCCTCATTTGCAATATAATGTAACCAGTGATGTTGAATGGAAAATCTTGGAAACGACAGACAACACAGCGTTGGAAGAGCTTTACTGTGACGATAATATTGAGGGAATATTTAAGCTTAACCCAGCCCAAGCTATCGAAGGGAGTTTCTTTTCCTAATGTAATTTCTGTTGGACTCTATCATAAGCGGAGCAAAATTACTGAATGCTGATTGGCCGAGACAGAGGGCTTTTTTTCTTAATCAGGAGGGCACTTTTGGGAAAACTTAGAAAATACGCGTGAAGTTAATCCTTAATTGCCCTCAGGCCCGTGCTACTAGGTATAAGAATCAGCTGTAAAATATTGTTGTGATACTCAAACAATCTTTTATTTCCCCTTTTGTGATATTTCTTTGTAATAGAGATACTCTGCCTCCATGGAAAAAAGATATTTCAATTAAAGGTATCAGCATTCCCTCTTCATTGGAGCAAACGTCGGGAAATTACGCTTTAAGCTTTGGAAATATAAGGCAGTTGTCTACTCCACCTTGCTCGACTTACCAATACAACCTGCCCTATGCGAACAGGAAATGGTACTCGGAAGAAATTCTCAATGACGGGTGTATATACAACAAGGAACTCTCGGTAAACCTATCTTTTATCTGCATCATGAGTCACGTTTATTTTATTAGTGCATCTTTAAAGTGTGTTAACAATTTTTGACTTTAGAGGTACTACCCGATCTTTCAATCAAAAAGAAGCGTGGATCAAGGAAATATTACATTGCCTACAAAAGGAAAGGTGAAAGGATGGCAAGAAAGACTTGTACATAACGAGGAAGTCAACTTCTTAAAATGGTAGGAATCTCTGGTTCACAGATTGTAATGATCGGAAGGATTGTAACAAAATGTATCTTTAATTTCTCAGTAAAACGTTTTTCTTCCACTTCACTTCGGCAACTGCATCTTGAAAACTGAGAATAAATACATACTAACAAGCGAAAAGATCGGAAGGGAAAATACTTGGTTGCAGGTCGACGTCACGACATAGGGGCCAAGCACGCAAAACAACAACATAAAATTATTTGCCATCTATCGCGTGCGGACAAAAGAACTTAGAATTCATTCAAAAGCGTGACTTTTTTATTATTCTATTTTAAGTTTTCATTCAGTATTTCAATTCACGCATGGGGAAGCCAAAGAACCGTGCGATTACGGGACTGGTCTGTTTTTTCTAAACTGACTCACGTCAACTCGTCAGACCCTACACACGAGAACCTTAAGTACGGTTTTCTTTAGGATTTTGCGTGCGGGTCGTAAGAGTCAGACGATAAAAACTGTAAGTATATGCGGTGAGTGGCAATTCGGTAGCCAGCAGTGGCTATTTTTCGAGCTGTGAAGCGGCGAGGTAAATATTCACCTCCAGGCACCTCCACCTCGAAGAATAGGTGTTAACTATCAAAAGCCCCGTATGGACACACAAAAACCCCTTCCCCGCCCCCGCCTCTCCCCTCGCTATGAGAGTCGCATGCTATGGCAAACAACAATTTTCAAATAGAATTTGCGAGTGTTTTAATGTAATAGGAAGGCTGCTCGTCAGTGTTGTCTACCCTTCCAATATTTTTTACAGCGCGCATCACGAAACGTTTACAACCAGCCATTTTTTATCCGCAAGCCAAGCAAATTTGTCTGCTCTTTTATAAAGATAGCGAAAAAATTCCAACTTTCTTCATATCCCCATGTAATATTTGAAAATTGGAGAATACCACAGAAGAAATATCACCGCATGTTCTTTAATTTTAGCTGGACGCGTTCTGTCTCGTACAACGTTGAAGAAACATTTGTGAGCAAATATGTTTGATAAATCATTAAAAATAGCTATTTTGTTGAGTAAAAGATTGATCGTTATGGCCCACATACTATGTAGAGATATGATACCTCAAATAACCTGTTTTAGGAACTCGTTCTATAAACCTGTGACGCATGCGAGATATATTTTTAAATTTCTCTCGCTAGGAAAATAGACGTCGACAGCATGACCTCGACATTAAAGCACGTGTATGCAGAAGACATACAACGCTTGAAACATCACTCTGCTCTGAAAATTGATTGTCAATATAATAAAAGCAGCGGTGCTACATGGAAAAGCTCTAGTATCACAAATAACACAGCGTTGAAAGATCTCCTTTGTAACTATACTGCTGAGAAACCATTTAAACTTAACGCTGGCCAAGCAAGTGAAAGGTAGTTTGTTTTTTTAGTGTGATCTTTTTCAGATTCGTAACACATGTGCACAAATGAAATGGGTTTATCGACTACAAATTTTGCGCTCTCCCACCCTCCATTTAAATTCCAGAATACCCCACTTAGAGCCCGTGTCATTTTCTGCCCCCCTTCCCCCTTAACAGTTCCGAAGGACTAACTGCTTACATCTTGCTAAACTCTCTCCTTGGTGAATACTCGGAAGGCATAGAATGCCTAGAACATCATTATTTTCTGTCCCCTCATTTGCAATATAATGTAACCAGTGATGTTGAATGGAAAATCTTGGAAACGACAGACAACACAGCGTTGGAAGAGCTTTACTGTGACGAAAATATTGAGGGAATATTTAAGCTAAACCCAGCCCAAGCTATCGAAGGGAGTTTCTTTTCCTAATGTAATTTCTGTTGGACTTTATCATAAGCGGAGCAAAATTACTGAATGCTGATTGGCCGAGACAGAGGGCTTTTTTTCTTAATCAGGAGGGCACTTTTGGGAAAACTTTGAAAATACGCGTGAAGTTAATCCTTAATTGCACTCAGGCTCGTGCTATTGGGTGTTAGAATCAGGTGTGAGCAAATGAAATAGGTGTTGATCAAGCAGAAATTTTGGCCTTCCTTTCCCCCTACATCCCACAACAGCTGTAAAATATTGTTGTGATACTCAAACAATCTTTTATTTCCCCTTTTGTGATATTTCTTTGTAATAGAGATACTCTGCCTCCATGGAAAAAAGATATTTCAATTAAAGGTATCAGCATTCCCTCTTCATTGGAGCAAACGTCGGGAAATTACGCTTTAAGCTTTGGAAATATAAGGCAGTTGTCTACTCCACCTTGCTCGACTTACCAATACAACCTGCCCTATGCGAACAGGAAATGGTACTCGGAAGATGTCGGATGTTTGTACAACAAGGAACTCTCGGTAAACCTATCTGCATCATGAGTCACGCTCATTTTATTAGTGCATCTTTAGAGTGTGTTAACAATTTTTGACTTCGAGTGCTCAAACTCATACGCAGCTATACCTTTAAGATCCTCCCATGCACTTTTGTTTTTTTTCCCACAACATTCTCGAAATAGCTATAAATTTTTAACGAACTGGTGTCCTTCCTGTGTCCTCTCTAGGCACTTCTTGACATTATTGTAAGGGTTGTTTCCTCAATGTTTACGATAAAGATAAAGATAGCACAGTACCCAGTAAATACTATCAGGCAAGAGAATATTGATATTCTCTTGAATCAGACCCACCATATTACACCCTGCAAAAATACTCAAAACTTCAAAAGATAAGAAAATAATTACTTGTAAAACTAGCTACCTCAAACTTGACTGCGTTGGTCGATCTGCACTGATATCAAATCAAATTTGCATTCTGTTACAAAGGGAGGAAACATGCGAGAACCGACAAAGCAAGCTTGTCTTAAAGTGCTACCGCAAATTGCTACAGACTATAAATTCGATTTCAAGGCAAAAGATCAGAGGTACTACCCGATCTTTCAATCAAAAAGAAGCGTGGATCAAGTAAACATTACATTGCCCACAAAAGGAAAGTTGAAAGGATGGCAAAAAAGATTTGTACATAACGAGGAAGTCAACTTCTTAAAATGGTAGGAATCTCTTGTTCACAGATTGTAATGATCGGAAGAATTGTAACAAAATGTATCTTTAATTTCTCAGTAAAAAGTTTTTCGTTCACTTCACTTCGGCAGCTGCATCTTGAAAACTGAGAATAAATACATACTAACAAGCGAAAAGATCGGAAGGGAAAGTACTTGGTTGCAGGTCGACGTCACGACATAGGGGTCAAGCACGCAAAACAACAACATAAAATTATTTGCCATCTATCGCGTGTGGACAAAAAAACTTAGAATTCATTCAAAAGCGTGACTTTTTTATTATTCTATTTTAAGTTTTCATTCAGTATTTCAATTCACGCATAGGGACGCCAAAGAACCGTGCGATTACGGGACTGGTCTGTTTTTTTCTAAACTGACTCACGTCAACTCGTTAGACCCTACACACGTCAACCTTAAGTACGGTTTTCTTTAGGATTTTGCGTGCGGGTCGTAAGAGTCAGACGATAAAAACTGTAAGTATATGCGGTGAGTGGCAATTCGGTAGCCAGCAGTGGCCATTTCTCGAGCTGTGAAGTGGCGAGGTAAATATTCACCTCTAGGCACCTCCACCTCGATGAATAGGTGTTAACTATCAAAAGTAGTCGCATGCTATGGCGTGAGGTCAACCGGAAAAAGTACGAGAAAATGAGTCGAGTTAGGCATTTTTTGAAAATGCACAAGAGGACAAAACTGAATGGGACCATGGGGTCTTTTAAACAGTCAATCCTTTCTGTTTTCGCTTTTTTTCAGGGCTCCTTCTGGGAATTCTATATCAATAAGAGTACCCGAAAAAAGGCCGGTTGTTCCAAGCCACTGGTCCTATACACCAGTCAGTGAGCCATGTACACGAGTGACGTTAGACTCATCTTCATGGGAATTCAAAGACGTTGAACAACTATTCAAAGCGTCGATGAGTAATGTGGTGATTAAGAAAATCGACCGCGTGCAGAATCCTTTCATGTGGGAAAATTTTCAAAGGTAGGGAAAACCCTGAGCTGACGCAAATAAGAATTCATGATGGTCTAAAGAAAGGGCGTGAAAGGAAATCAACCCCCTCCTCCCCCATCCCGTCCTTCCTCGCACTGGACGCTTTTTCTAAAATAACAAACAACAATTTTCAAATGGAATTTGCAAGTGTTTTGATGTAATACGAAGGCTGCTCGACAGTGTTGTCTACCCTTCCAATATTTCTTTACAGCGCGCATCACGAAACGTTTACAACCAGCCTTTTTTACCAGCAAGCCAAGCAAATTTGTCTCATCTTTTACAAAGATAGCGAAAAAATTCCATCTTTCTTCAAATCCCCATGTAATATTTGAAAATTGGAGAATACCACAGAAGAAATATCACCGCATGTTCTTTAGCTTTAGCTGGACGCGTTATGTCTCGCACAACGTTGAAGAAACATCTGTGAGCAAATATGTTTGATGAATCATTAAAAAAAGCTATTTTGTTGAGTAAACGATTGATCATTATGGCCCACATACTATGTAGAGTTATGATATCACACATAACCTGTTTTAAGAGGACATTCTGTAAACCCTGACGCATGAGAGATAAATTTTTAAATTTCTTTCGCTAGGAAAAAGGACTATATGACAGCAATAGCACATGGCAATGAACAGATGGTCAACGAGAAAAGATTGTTTCATGGAACCAGTCCAGATTCCGTAAAGGCCATCTGTAAAGAGAACTTTGATTGCCGTCTAAGCGGCAGTGCAAACGGTACTTCATATGGTCATGGAAGCTACTTTGCAGTGAATGCATCCCTTAGCCATTGGTACACGCAAGCAGATGCCAACAAGTCTCGGTTCATGTTCTTGGCCAAAGTCCTTGCAGGTTCGTATATAATGGGTGACCCCAGCTATCGAAGACCGCCGCCGAAGGAACTGTCAGATCGAGTTAATGCCCGCTATTATGACTCATGCGTGGATGACGAGTCGGAGCCAACGATGTTTATTGTCTTTGATATCGATCAGCACTACCCAGAGTATGTCATTCAGTATCAGTCTGATTAGATGCGTCTGAAAGGATTCAATTGCTTGAGAACAATAACGTCCAATCTGTAACTTTCCACTTCAATTCACTCAATTTGCGTTGGTCTCGGTACACTTTCTAGAAAGTACATCTTTCAGGAAAGCTGCGGATAATCATCGTCGACTAAAAGTTAGGACGCATATAATGGCAAAGGAAAATGTTTCAACTTTTATGTCTTTCTTACTTTCTTTTTTTTTAAGATTAACAAAATTTTCAAAGGTATCGTAAAATTTGCACGGGAATAGTAAGAAATTAATCAGAAGGCGCAATTTATTTCAAACCTTCATTTTACCTAGTGTAGTCCAATTTAAGAATTATTTCGTCAATACGTGAGAACTTGAGTCATTATATTCTTCTCAAAAAAAACTTCGAAAACTCGCAGCTTAGGCCTTAGTTATACCTTTTTGCTCAAACGACTCTGTCCTTCCCAACTCTCATAAGGAGAATCGGGAAGGACATATTTTTGCGCGGTGGTCAAACTTAACATGATTTTGGTCTGACAGCGAAAATGAGTAAGTACGCGTTATTAACTTAGCCAAATGTTGTAGTTTACTTTAGTTTCCACAATTTGGTTATTAAATCAGAATCCGTAGGCTATTCTAGCAAACTGAAAAGGGCAAAAAATTGTGGTTTATAATTTAATGTTAACTACTGTAATACATAAAGGATTTTAACATTTTTAGAGACTGACAAAAGGCGACTCAGCTTTAGCTTGTAGCATATGATTAATGACAAATAATGTTGCTGGGGGATTCTCAATTGTAAACTACTTGATAAAAGCTGAAATTTTTGTTTTCATTCAATAACGATACGACTGAAATGGTAGTGCTTTTGTAATCATGCAACACTGTGTAGCAAGTAATAATAAAACGCTGTTAATTCATTACTTGTTTGTTGTTCTGTGGACTGATATTCAAAAGTGATTTTGATACCCTTAAGAGGAACTAGGCACTACTGCTTTGGTATATTACTTTTGAAAGAATTAGTAAAGAGGGCAAGTTTCCAAAGAAACTGTGGTGCTGCGTAGCTGGAGGATATAACAAGATAAGTTGGTTTTATCACTGACTGAGCTAACAATGTAAATTGGCCACTGCGAGGAGTTTCTAAAGCTGACTTTTCGAGCGTTATCCTTTTCCAGATTCAATTATTGAATAATTGTTTTAGTATAATTGCTCAGGTGCTTTCAAATTCTGTTGTAAAACCTCGTCGTTGTTGAAACCATTCTATTACAATAATTTTAACTACTCGTATCAAGATGAGCAGCCGGTCTCCACTAGAATTTAACGGGTTTCTTCAATAAGCAAAAACTGAAAAGTGTTACCCCGTTTATCGCTTACTGGGTGACATGGACAAAACGCGAGGCCGCCATTATGAAATTTAGCGTCCCTGTTACAATCAAGTGAGGTGATTATAGCGAGATATGCCCCATTTTTCGACCCATCAGAGCGCGCGCATCTCCAAAATCACGAGACAATTATACCAATATTTGATAACTCATAATTACAAGACAGTTCTCGATCCACACTTCGAGCAAAGATGAAAATGTGAAAATTTATCCGAAATACAATCATTTTCCAATTCTCACAAACAATCCTGTTGTGGAAACCAGGCCACAAAGCTCCTAAATCTGCTACTGAAGTGTTTCTTGATTTTTTTTTCCTTTTGGGAATGTCGTTAAAATTAGTGGGGATGTCTGCAATGACGTTTTCCAACGCAGTCTCCCTCGAAATGACTTTTTCAATAAAGCCAAAATTTACTCATTCCTTGTGAAACTTTACCAAATCCTATTTCGAGGTAATATTTACAGTGTGCTTCTTCGTTTCATCAGGATTGCATATGGCCTCTTCATTGATTTCTTTAACTGCAACGAAGCGGCCACGAGCGTGATTTCATCTGCAAAATCTACTCTTCCAAATGGGTTTTGATGTTTTAATAGCAATTAAAGCCATCAAAAGAAAAGGGTTTAAAAAAATCCGCCATCTTGACAGAAAACAGTGTAAAAACTCTCTTCGCCAACAAAATTGTTAAAGAAACTGAACATTTCATAGAAACGAAAGTGCAAATTCCGAGAAAATGACAATGATCCCTAACATGAGTGGGGCGGGGGGAATTGTCTTAGATAAGTGCCTTTCACCTTTTTACCTTTTCAATACAATGATCGACTTGAGGACAAAATTTTATTTATACAGTTAAATACCGTAACAGCTGATCTGCGCAATGATATCATTTTCACAAATATGTTTGATGCCATCTTCACAGACACGGTTGGCCAGACTTCACCCTTGGTCAACTAAGTGTTGGAAAGCATATTAATCAAAAATAATTATTGTGACTATTGAAAATTTACATTCAGTACATCTTTAGCACAGAGTACATTTCAGAGTGACATTCATTCTTGTTTTTTTTAATTAGGCCCTCAAAAGTTGTTTTCAAGTTCCTCGTGTTATTTCTCTCGCGTGATTCGTGCAATATCTTAATAAAGTCCACTGTTTTTTGAGAATCGTACTCATTTAACTCATCTTTCCCTATCTCTTATTCCTTAAAAATTTAAGTGACTGTATCTTTATCCGGCAACGATAACTTTATTTAAGGAGCTTTGGTGGCAATAAATCCGAGGAAATCAGTTTTTTTTCACTCTAAAGATCAACGTTAAAATTAACAACGACGTTTCGACTTCACTGTTTGATCTTGAAAATACGTTTTATTCGCGAAATTTAACCAAAACTGAACAAACAGAGTGATTCGATCCATGAAAATATATTTACCTAATCGATTCAATTTTAATGTTTCTTTCGCCTTGGCATTTTCTATTATTCTTGCCGCAATTTCCCGCATTGTTTCTCTGTAAATATTTTAGAGTTTTAGTCAGTATCTCATTAGCATTTTACAATTGATTATATAAGCGCATGAAGAATCCCATTCTTCAACTTGGAAATGACCTTTAAGCGGTCGAAACGTCATTGTTTTTTAACGTTAATTTTTATAGTATAATCAGTTTCTAAAAATTTGTTGATTCGAAATCAGTTTTGATGCATTTTAGCCTCAAATCATCATTTGGGATATCTCTGTTTCGACGCTACAGACGAAAATAAAGCGAAGAGCTTGAAGACTTCCTCTTAAATTACGCTCGAAGACTTCATCTTAAATTACGCTTGAAGACTTCCTCTTAAATCACGCTAGCTCCATTTATCCGCCCTGACATGTTCTGTTTGAAACGAACCTCACTCTCGCGAAAAAGTCACGCAATCGCCACTCCTGTGATATGCTTCGAGAACTATAGAATTTTGAACGTCATAAATTTAGATACAATACCAGGGTCTTTTCAAACAGTAAACAATGTTCAAACGACACGGGAAGTCTGCCGCTGCCATTAAGCAAATTCTTAGACACAAGATGCCTGTCAAGAGCGTCTCACAAAAACGTCGCGAAACCGTCGAACAGACGGACAAACCGGAGAATGTTTGGCATTACAAGGCTTCCAACGTGCTTGAACGGGCCAAGATGCACTTTGATTCTTCATGTACCATCGTCCGGAATCAAGCAAAGATCATTTTCGACAAAATGGATCACTTGACCGGACATTCTTCGGCTGGTTACGCGGCAGTTGCGATGATAAAAATTCTCGCCATATTTTTCTTGATTATTGTTGTGGTCGAGTGCATATTTCATTTTCGATCTTATTTCTGGTTGTTGTGCGGATATATGTGTTCTCTCTTATATTTCGCTGTGGTGATAGTAGTGCGAGGCGCTAACATGATTTTGGTGAGCGCATGGGCTATTTTTAAGTACGTCTTCTTCTCCATCGGGAAAATGCTTTTGGCATCGACAGGAATTGCCATATATTACTTAAAGTCCTCCATGCTATTCGTTTTAAATGGCGCGGTTATTATTGAGATTCCCACACGATGGACCTTGAATTTGAGCATCGACTGGAGAAGTTTTTTTGAGCCGCTTTGTTTGTATGGAGCAGTGAGAATGGTGTACTTTTGGATCAAATATGGCACAAGAAGTTTAAGTTACAAGCCGGTTTCCAGCGCTGTTAAAGATGCCAAAAGGCATTTTGATACTATGTCAACCATCTGCACTAATCACGCAAAGATTATTCATGATAAACTTGATCGTTTGAGCCAACATTCACTCGCTGGTTTAGCAGCGACAGCGGCCATAAAAATTTGTGTCGTGTTTGTTGTGACGGCCGTTGTTGTCAAGTGCGTGTGGATAATGCCAGGACATCTTTCTACTAGATCAATCCAGCTCTTGTATTTTGCGGCGATGTTTATCATTAAAGGCAAGAGAATGCTCATGTATCATATGAGTGCCTCCTTTGAGAATCTCTTGATTTCCTTCTGGAAAACTTATAAGGGATCAACTATAGCTAACGTTTTATGTTACCTTATTAGTATTTTGCAAATTTGCATTTTGTGTGTTGCACTGATTACTCTTTGCTCAAAGACCTTGAACAAATATAGAGGAACAATTCAGCAAGCCGTCCGTTTCTGGAATGGTTTCTATCACAGTGCTGCTACTCGGGCCAAGACAAGCTTGTGTTCTTTATTTACCGCCGTCAATATCCAATCAAGGCTAATTCAAATCAAAATTGATCGTTTGACATTCGTCGGCTATTAACGCAATAGTAAAGGTGATCAAAACTGTAGCTATTTTTTTTATGTTACGATCTTTCACTTACTTCCTTCACTTGGTTGTGGCATACATCATCAGAGTTCCAAGCATAATCTGGGAAAATGTGGTTGCTATTTTAGAATATGTTCGAAATGCTAACTCGGAGATCTTCCTCGCACTCACCAGACTTGCCTTTAAGTGCCTAACATCGATTTCTTCCCTTGCTTCGAATTGCTACATTGTTACATATTACCAAATCAATTTGATCTCGAACTCTGTCGACAGTTTAACAAACAGTTGGAATGGTATTTTACTGGTATGCTTCTTGTTTGGGGTACTGGTGCTGGTGTTACTCCTCAGAGCTACAGCTTTTATAAGCAACTTGTTAGGAGGTAACGTACTTGCTGTTGAATGGTAGGCCGAGGCTAAAATATATAACTGACTGCCAACTGTGGGAACTGACATACCGATCAGTTGACGTGACTGACTAACTGACTGACCAATTACCTACGAAAAAATCGGTACCGCCGAGTGACTGACAGGCTGATTGACAGGATGAATGACCGCCTGATCCATGATGGCAACCTACTCACTGGCTGACTTAGTATTTAATAAATGAACTTATCAACTGACTAACTGACTGGCTGACGGAGACGAGGTACCTCAGTTGTTGGCGCGCTAATTCCCTGTTTAATTTCTCGATTGACATGTTGGTCTTTTAAATTATGCAGTGCTCTATTTTCTCCACTTTTCCTCTGCAGCTGGTTGCAAGTCCACGCCTTACTGTTGGCAGTTCAAAGAGAAAGATTCTTATTCGTGGAGAAGTTTTGGCTCTTCCGACAATGTGGCTTTGGAAGAGCTTTATTGTGACGTGGATAATCTAGAAGTTAAAGTGAACCTTAAAGATACTGCATCAAGGTAAGACAAAAGAGGAAAGAGTCAATGCCTAAATATCGCAGTAAGGAGGCACTGTTTCGTTGAGTTGTGAGATATTTCGTTTTTGCATTGCGAAGACTGTGTACCGTGTTTATTAGCATGCTAAGGTGATGAGAGGTAAACAGCAGTATTGAACGGCTTTGCACTATTAGGTTTGGCCCATGAATTTCCTTACATGATTGGGTGTGATTGTCCAATTTGATTGTCCAATTTGATTGTCCGGTGAATCGCAGTTCTGATTAAGAACTTCGTGTAGATTACTAAAGCAAAAGTCATCGAGAGAACTAAGTGGGCCCTTGACTCTCAGTAATACCTTCCTTCAGCCTATCGAAATGTTAGTCTGTAGAAAGGACAAAAATCCTTTCAAGACCACTTTCGTCGGGACGTTAAGAATGCACTATCAGTCATTACTCTTGGGTTCAAACCACTTACCTAAAAACAAATTTCATCAAAGTAACGGTAAGATTTTATGCTAAAGCTGATTGCACGAAATCATTTCAACACCGTTTCACCAGAGGCCCGACATGATTATTCCTCATTAAGTTATCATCACCCCAATGTATCGTCTTGGAAGGCATTATGATTTTACTTCTACTCTGTAGTGTTTTTGTGACACCATCATCGCAGATGTCAGTTAATTTCGAGGAGATGTCCATGCACTCACCCCTCTCTACCCGGTTATTGCTCCGTCGATGCTCGACACCATCTTACATACAGGAGCCGAACAACAAGTCATCCACATTGTGGGTTTGGTATTGGAAAGACAACGATGGTTGGAAGAAATACACTGAAACGAAAGTAAGCAATAGAGGAGGAAACTAGTAATGCTTTTCATTCGTGAGGGCCAGCAAGGTTTTCAATACAAATATCTGTAACTAGAAGCTTCTGTAAGTTTCTGTTTCTGTGGTGTGTTCAAGGGCCTGTGCTTCACACAAAAAGTGCGGTGAATGGCTTCTTGTTTAAGTGTGTGAGCGTAATCGATAACTCAATGCATAATAGGGTTTGGTGAATGCGACACTATTGGCGTGAGTGAAGGTGTTTTTGGAAGAATATTAGGCCAAAAACGCTTTGCTTTTCACTTTTTTTAGCAGTCTTCTGGGATTAAGCAAGAGAAGATAGAGGCTGCCTATTTGAATAAAGATCGTATTTATTCCTTTCGAAACGGTTCTCACAATTACATCGTCAAATTCTACGAAACACCTATGTACCAAATGAATACGGACCCACAGTTCCCTACCAAGCGACAAGTTAGAAGGAGACCATTGTTTGTTTCAAAATCAGCACCTGAGAACACAAACAGGTAAGTTACCGCATATTGTGATATGGTTATTGCTACTGACTGATATGCAATCCGAAAGAAATATAAGGGACCTGGCCTGCTCGATTGACATAAAGCAACCCCTGTATTGTTGTCGTCTCAATTGTTATTCG